TTAATATAAGATAAAAGTGGGATGGTAAGGAAGTTGATGTAATATAAGATAATAGTGGAATGGTATGGAAGTTGATGTAATATAAGATAATAGTGGAATGGTATGGAAGTTAATGTACCATAGGATTATAGTGGAATGGTATGGAAGTTGATGTGATATAAGATAATAGTGGAATGGTATGGAAGTTAATGTGATATAAGATAATAGTGGAATGGTATGGAAGTTGATTTAATATAAGATAAAAGTGGGATGGTAAGGAAGTTGATGTGATATAAGATAATAGTGGAATGGTATGGAAGTTAATGTAACATAGGATGATAGTGGAATGGTATGTAAGGAAGTTGATGTGATATAAGATAATAGTGGAATGGTATGGAAGTTAATGTACCATAGGATAATAGTGGAATGGTATGGAAGTTGATGTGATATAAGATAAAAGTGGAATGGTATGGAAGGTAATGTAACATAGGATAATAGTGGAATGGTATGGAAGTTAATGTAACATAGGATGATAGTGGAATGGTATGGAAGTTGATGTGATATAAGATAATAGTGGAATGGTAAGGAAGTTGATGTGATATAAGATAATAGTGGAATGGTATGGAAGTTAATGTAACATAGGATAATAGTGAATAGTTTGGAAGTTGATGTGATATAAGACAATAGTAGAATGGGATGGAAGTTAATGTAATATAAGATAATAGTGGAATGGTATGGAAGTTGATGTGATATAAGATAAAAGTGGAATGGTATGGAAGTTGATGTGATATAAGATAATAGTGGAATGGTATGGAAGTTAATGTAACATCGGATGATAGTGGAATGGTATGGAAGTTGATGTGATATAAGATAAAAGTGGAATGGTATGGAAGTTAATGTAACATAGGATGATAATGGAATGGTAAGGAAGTTGATGTGCTATAAGATAATAGTGGAATGGTATGGAAGTTAATGTAACATAGGATGATAATGGAATGGTAAGGAAGTTGATGTGATATAAGATAATAGTGGAATGGTATGGAAGTTAATGTAACATAGGATAATAGTGGAATGGTATGGAAGTTGATGTGATATAAGATAAAACTGGAATGGTTTGGAAGTTAATGTAACATAGGATAATAGTGGAATGGTATGGAAGTTGATGTGATATAAGATAACAGTGGAATGGTATGGAAGTTAATGTAACATAGGATAATAGTAGAATGGGATGGAAGTTGATGTAATATAATATAATAGTGGAATGGTATGGAAGTTGATGTGATATAAGATAATAGTGGAATGGTTTGGAAGTTGATTTGATATAAGATAATAGTGGAATGGTATGGAAGTTAAGGTAAAATAGGACAAGAGGCCCATGGGCCTTAACGGTCACCTGAGTCTATAGTATTTATTTTTGTTGTTGAAATATGTACCAATTTGAGTAAAAAATAGTATAATGTTAACTTAACTTTGTCAGGACCATGAGCTGATCATTCCTAGACCAATTTTAAGTGAGATCGGCCTATTAGAACTTAGTAGCAAAATAGCGGCCATGGCAGCCAAATTGTATTTCTGATTGACCCGAAAAATAACAACACTTTGTCAGGACCATGATTCGATCATTCCTACAAAGTTTCAGTTCAATCGGCCAAGTAGATCTTTACTTTAAGTTTGAAATAGTTTACCAAAATGGCAGCTGTGGTGGCCATATTGGATTTCTGATCGACCTGAAAAATAACAACACTTTGTCAGGACCATGAGTCAATCATTCCTACAAAGTTTCAGTTCAATCGGCCTAGCAGAACTTGACTTTAAGTTTGAAATATGTTTTCAAAATGGTGGCCGTGGCGGCCATATTGGATTTATGATTGACCTGAAAAATAACAACACTTTGTCAGGACCATGAGTCGATCATTCCTACAAACTTTAAGTTCAATCGGTCCAGCAGAACTTGACTTTAAGTTTGAAATAGGTTTTCAAAATGGCGGCCGTGGTGGCCATATTGGATTTCTGATCGACCCAAAAAATAACAACACTTTGTCAGGACCATGAGGCGATCATTCCTACCAACTTTCAGTTCAATCGGTCCAGCAGAACTTGACTTTAAGTTTGAAATAGGTTTTCAAAATGGTGGCCGTGGCGGCCATATTGGATTTCTGATCGACCCGAAAAATAACAACACTTTGTCAGGACCATGAGGCGATCATTCCTACCAACTTTCAGTTCAATCGGCCCAGCAGAACTTGACTTTAAGTTTGAAATGTAAAATGTTAACGGACGACGGACGACGGACGACGGACGACGACGGACGAAAACGGATAGCAATAGGTCACTTGAGCTAAAGCTCAGGTGACCTAATAATAGTGGAATGGTATGGAAGTTGATGTGATATAAGATAATAGTGGAATGGTATGGAAGTTGATGTAATATAGAATAATAGTGGAATGGTATGGAAGTTAATGTAATATAGAATAATAGTGGAATGGTATGGAAGTTAGTGTTAGGATAATGGTATGAGCATTACTGCTATATTGGTCATTGAATGTGGCATAAGAGTTTGTAAATATTATGAACTACAAGTGGTTCTATATTACCAGGTATTTGAAATATCTAATTATATTAACGTTGGATGCTTCCTTACACATTATACCTGTGTTTTTTCCCCTTTAAAAATAATTAAGTTTTACCTTTAGAATTGGTTTTATCATTATACAATGATATATACAGCATCACTAAGGTGTTATCATTATACAGTAATATATACAGCATCACTAAGGTGCTATCATTATACAGTAATATATACAGCATCACTAAGGTGCTATCATTACACAGTAATATATACAGAACCACAAGGGTGTTACATGTATAATGATACAGTAATATATACAGCATCATTAGTGTGTTATCATTATACAGTATTATGTAAAGCATCACTAAGGTGTTATCATTATACAGTAATATATACTTTTAGCATCACCATTGTGTTATCATTATACAGTAATATATACAGCATCACTAGATTGTTATCATTATACAGTAATATATACAGCATAACTAAGGTGCTCTCATTATACAGTAATATATACAGCATCACTAGATTGTTATGATTATACAGTAATATATACAGCATCACTAGTGTGTTATCATTATGCAGTAATATATACAGCATCACTAAGGTGCTCTCGTTATACAGTAATATATACAGCATCACTAAGGTGCTCTCACTATACAGTAATATATACAGCATCACTAGATTGTTATCATTATACAGTAATATATACAGCATCACTAGTGTGTTATCATTATACAGTAATATATACAGCATCACTAAGGTGCTCTCATTATACAGTAATATATACAGCATCACTAAGGTGTTATCATTATACATTAATATATACAGCATCACTAGGGTGTTATCACTGTAGCATGTGTATTATATTTTCATGTGTGTGTTACACACATTACTTTATGATGTGTGTTACATGCATGTCTTTATAATGTGTGTTACATGCATGTTTTTATGATGTGTGTTACACATGCAAGACTACACACTTGTGTTTTTCTAATGAATCAGAAAGCACCAGTTTATTGCGCGAAGGAATATATTCAAGAGGGCCTGTATCGCTCACCTATTTCTTTTGTTACATGAAACTGACATATAGGTAATTTCAGACCAAATTTGGTAACTAGAACACAGGACATTTTAACATCTCCTAAATGCTTCTTACGATATTGTTTTTGAAATTTTATTTTAATTTTAAAGCTTTTAACCCACCTTGACCTTTAACTCCGACTAGCACTTAAAGTTGACATTTGACCTCATTACTGTAATAAACAAAACGAAATTGTATAGCACTCTATCCTTAGTACCTACTGGCTGAATATCATGACCCTAGGCTTTATGGAACTTGAGAAGAACATTGTTAAAGCTTTTAACCCATGTTGACGTTTGACCCCCCCGACTAACACTTAAAGTTGACCTTTGACCTCATTACTGTAATGAAGAAAATTATTTGCACTGCTGGTCTACATAGCATACTCAAGTATGATGACTAGTCCAAATGGTTCTTAGGATTCTAGGATATTGCTGTTTGAAGTGTTTAACATATTTGACCCCTGTGACCTTGAAACTAGGTCAAGGTCATTTTAACGAGGAAACTTTATAGCACTCCATCCAAGGTACCTACTGGCCATACATCATGACCCTAGGTCCTCCAGTTCTTCTTCAGAAGTCGTTCAAATGATAAAGTTGACGGACAGACGATGGACGACGGACGATGGACGCTGCAGTACGGCATAAGCTCACCTGGCCCTTTGGGCTAGGTGAGCTAAAACACAAGTGTGTGGTCTTGTTTTTATCAAATATCTTCCGTATTTGGTAGAGATCGATACAAAGATCTTATAAACTTTGATATTTTTTGCAAATACTAGGAACTTTTCAGTCCGCCATGACAAGGGGATTCCCACAAAAAGTAGTTCCGGCTAGTAGGTAAATACACCATTCCGTATTGCACATGTACAATACAGAACGTTGTATTTCATGGTCTGAACATTGCTTGTATTACTATAACAAGATTCAACAGGTATGTGATAAATGCATGTCTTTATGATAGTTGTGTTACATGCATTAATTTATGATGATTGTTACATGCATGTCTTTATGATGCGTGTGTTACACACATTACTTTACAACTTACACACATTAAGCATGGAACTATTTCAGAATTGAGATGTATTTCATGGTAAGGTAGCATGCTTCGTTGATAAATTATAAATGAATGATATAGGTTAGTTGTTTTTAGTTACTCAGTTGGAGCTTCCTTTAGATGTTTCTCATGTTATTTATTCGATGAATGATTCCTTTCGAAACTAGATGCCTTTACATATGCTAAAGAAATGCGTGTCTGCATGCTAAGGTCTTTGAAAAACAGGCACTATTTTTGGTGCTAAGGATTATTGAGAGCTGCCTCTAGAGATGATAACAGAATGAGATGAGATGATGAGTCATAACTCATACATACCACAGCCTTCTGGTGCTGCCCAACTGTCAGTCTCACACCAATGGTCATCATAAGGTCTGGTCGGTGCAGGATGACCACTACAATTTCATCATCGAGGGATAATCCAGTCCGATCCATAACATCGTTGGCATTATCCAGTAGAATGGCAAGATTTTCTGAACTCATAATTGATTCATCTAGAGTAATGTCCGAGTTGACAGACCCTTTGATATAAGCTGTATTTAGTTCTTGAGATCCCATGGCAACAGACCATCGTCGTCTACTCTTAACATTGGGGTATTCACTGTTGGTGATATCATCAAAACTGTTCAGAAGTTTGATATCAGTGGTGTTTGATTCACTTCTTATTTGATGATAATATGATAGCAAGTTTGACTGACCATCATAATCATGAAGGTCTTCAGAATTGTCATGGTAGTTTTCTTGAAAATCAGGGTTATCTCCCATTCTCTGATTTTCAGAATTGTCAACACAAAAAGCAATATCAGCACTACCTAACACATTATCCTGCATGGATAAATTAATACAATTACTATGTACAGGGCTGCCACCTACAAAGTGTCCTCCAACATCATTCACACTATCTCCTCTGAAACAATCTGAAGATTTCTCAAGGTTATTTTTATCACCTGGACGACCTTGGAATCCAGGAGAATCCTGTAGGAAGAAAACAGATTCATAACTACTGTTCACCATGTCCTGACTATGGGAGTCTGTGAGCATGCTTCCAGGTGCCTGTGGCTGTGAGTCTATGGCCATATTTGGACATGCATTTGGTGAAGGAGTTACACCACAAAACAACAAATCTTTTGAATCTAACATGCAATTTGCAGGCGAAGCATTATCATTGATACTGAGGTTAGCATTAGTATTAACATCAAACTCATCAAGTATATCCAGCAATGGAGGTTGACCGACAGCACTAAAACCATCTTCATTCACCACACCACAACCTGCCCCACCACTTTTAGGAATCACACCACTTAAGTCATGTATGGGGCTTTCATTCAATTCAGGTAGGTCCATAGGAGAAATGGAGGAGGGAAAGGGAGGGAGAGTGGAGGAAAGAAGAGAGGGAGTGACGGAAGGGGGAAGGAGTGAAATATCTTCACTATAGTCTTCATTTAATTCTCTAGAATGCTGAATGACATATATCTGGTCACTTAACATTTCCTTAGCAATAGTTGTAGGCACAGCTGGTAGGTGATGAGAGACTTTGGGTAGGCTTGATGGCTTCTCCCCAACCTCACTGAGAATGTCATCCAGCATATCCTGTGCAATACTCAAAGCCCCAGGCATGGTACTTTGGGGAGGAAGGGGAGGGGTGACTTCATCAGCATCAGAGTCATCATCAGGGGGAAGTAACACACTAACACAATCAGTTTGTTCAAAACTAGCATCCTTAAAGATACTATTTGGTAAGCTGCTGTCTGACAAAATTGGTTTAGTAGTCTCGTCTTCATGCAAAACCTCAACCGAAGCATGAAGCACAGGCCAAGTCTTACCTTCTACGCTGTCTACTGATTTGGGCGTACATGCCACTGTACCTATCACTTCCTGTGCAAATTTGTCTCCCACTTGTTGTTTCTCACTGACACTGTCTTGTTGGGTGATGTCAGGAAAGTTGTGAGCATTACTATACAGCACGTTGACAATACTAACAGTGTTTTCGCTCTCAACAAGACTTTGTGTAATAACATGCGCCTTATCAACAACATCGATGACATCTGCTTCCACAGACAACTTCTGTGAGGAATGGACATTATGTGAAGACTTAGGTGTTACAACATCAATGTCAGATGCACTTTTGTCCGACACATCATTCTTACCTGGCTGTGTTGGCAATATTGGTTTGAGAAATTCCGAGGCATTTTCTGTTAGCTTTTTTGTAGGAGCTGCAATTTGAAAAGACTCTGTGAACAAATTAAATTGATAAGCGTCTTTGTTTTTACGTGGACTAAGAACAGAATTGACTTGTCTTGGGGAGACCTTCATTGCATTTTTTTCTGTAGGTGATGTCATCTTAGAACAAATTGGTCCAGTTGAAGTTTTCTTTGACAGAGAGGGTTTGTGATGAGATTTTGGTTTAGCAGACATGACATAGTCCACATGGCCTGAAGGGATCAGTCTCGGTTCTTGATCATAATGAGAAAATTTTGGGGGAATGTTTTTGGAACCACTGATCGAGGTGAATATAACAGTATCTATAGGCTTTGTAGAATCTATGTCCTTTGCCTTCTCTGTAGGCATCACACTTTTCCTGGCAGACGACACGTAACTAGAACTACTTGGAGTGGAATATGAAGAAGACCCCACTTCTGTCACACCAGATCTGTCATACTGTCTAACCTTTCCAGCCGCCGACCCAACGTACCCACTCGACTGCATCATGGGTCTAGAGGGGGCAATAAGATCTGGTTTTGAAAGCTTGTCAAGTTTGGATTTAGGAGCAATAAGAGGAGGTTCCTTCCTAACAACAGGCTCTGAAGCAATTCTAGATTCCCGGGGTGCTGGCTTTGGTAACTCTTCCAAAGATGCTGGCTTTGGCAGGTCTTCCTGAGATGCTGGCTTTTGCAGGTCTTCCTGAGATGCTGGCTTTGGCAACTCTTCCCAAGATACTGGCTTTGGTAACTTTCCGCGAGATGCTGGCTTTGGTAACTTTTCATGAGATGCTGGCTTTGATAACTTTTCATGAGATGCTGGCTTTGTTACATCATGTTTTGCCATTTCGTGTTTATGACTGTTAGTAATTATTGTGCTCTGAAGCTTGTTACTGACAGTTGGCTCTACTGTATCTGTCACCTGGTTACCTGGGGAGGTTGAAGATATATGTTTAGTGGTTTCAAGAGGTGTTACAACATCCCCGGAGGTTACCTTGGGCCCAGAGGTTTGGACTGGGAGCAGGGCACAAGTCTTTGGCTTGGTGGATCTTGGGTTGATATCCAACACTTCTGGCTTGATTGCTAGTTCCTTAGAATCTGAAATGATGTTATTCGGATTTCAAAACAGGCTGCTTACTAGATGGTCATAATTTTATGAATACAAAATAGTATTTTTAAAGGATTTTCAAGAGCTTTAGACAATTTCTTTGATGCTTTTACTATTTCTGATCAGTCTAGCAAATGAACAATAATAGCTTATGGTTATTATTCTTTGAAAACAAAACAGAATGGGATTTTTTTTTTGTTTCCAAATGAAATAATAATAATAATAATAATAATAATAAACTTTATTTATTGAGGATACAAAACCTGTTTAGCAAAGCTAATCTTCCACAGGGTCCTCTGTTAGTAAAATTGGTTAGTTAAAAGACAAAGTAGTATCACAGCAAATAAATGTACATGAAATAATTGTTGGTCTACTAAAACAGCAATTAATATCACAGTTATTTCATAATTTAAACGGTCGTTCAATAAATTACAATAAAATTATCACAGAAGCACGAAATATATTCCGTGCTTAACCCATTATGGTTTTCATTAAAAGACAAATTGTCTAATTTACATATATGCTAATGTAGCAAAAGCTAAAAATTGACAGAATACACGCCAATATAGCGAAAATAAAACAAATCAGAGCTGTATCTAAAAAGTATAATAGTAAAAATAAAAGACAATTAAACCGCATTCTTAATGTTACCAATCATATTTTGTTTGAGTTTTGTCAAGAAGGAAGAGAGTCGTACTTCAACCGGTAAATTATTCCAAATCTGGCTCCCTTGTACCAAAAAGTGTTTGGAATAAAATGTGGTACGGTGTTTGGGTACCTTGACAGAGTTTTGGGATGCTGATCTAGTATATCTGTTGTTAGACAAATTAAATTGATTAGAAAGATATCCTGGAACTAGATTATTTATACATTTGTACACCATAACACCTCTTTTGAATTTCAAATATTCGCCAATTGGTAACCACCCTAATGAAGAAAACATTTCTACTGATGGTGTATCAAATGGAGCATCCAACAGTAATCTTGCAGCTTGTTTCTGCGCTTTTGACAGTTTTTGTAGAAGATTTAAAGAGCATCCGCTCCATACTGTGCTACTGTACATGAAGTGGGGAAAAATACATGCGTGAAAAAATTTAAGTCTAGCTGAAAGTGGTAAATATTGACGGATGCGTCGAAGTAAACCCAAACCACTGTTAATCTTTGAAACAACAGATGCTATGTGATCTAACCAAGATAAACTGTTGTCAATTTTTACACCAAGAAGTTTTTCACTCTTTACTTGTTCAATACATTCCTGATCTAATATTAGGCTTAGAGCATCATCTATTCTGTTAAGTTTCTGTTTTGTGGCAATAACCATACATTTCGTTTTATTCCTATTTAGAATCATTTTATTCTCATTACACCAGTCTTGGACTTTACTCATTTTACAAATGATGTACTTCTAAAGGAAATACATAACTGTGATTCACAGTTCAAATAATTAACACAAGTCAAAAGCATCAACAAATATCATCCCCAGATTGAAGTTTGAAAGAATCAAAGTGCTAGAGCAACTACAGTATAAGAACCATGTATAACACCAACTCTCAACCTCTATTAAATTATACTGTCATATCTTGAGGGTTGTAACACGGATATAACTATGATAGTTGTTACACAGATATAACTATAATGAATGTAACACAGATATAAGTGTGATGGTTGTAACACAGATATAAGTGTGATAGTTGTAACACGGATATAAATATGATAGTTGTTACACAGATATAAGTGTGATATATAGTTGTTACACAGATATAAATATGATGGTTGTAACACAGATATAACTATGATGGTTGTTACACAGATACAACTATGATGGTTGTAACACAGAAATAACTATGGTGGTTGTAACACAGATATAAGTGTGATAGTTGTAACATAGATATAAATATGATGGGTGTAACACAGATATAACTATGATAGTTGTCTCACACTTACAACTATGATGGTTGAAACACAGAAATAACTATGATGGTTGTAACACAGATATAACTAGGATGGTTGTCACACAGATATAACTCTGATGGTTGTAACACAGATATAACTATATTGATTGTTACACAGATATAAGTGTGATGGTTGTAACACAGATATAACTGTGATAGTTGTAACACAGATATAACTATGATGGTTGTAACACAGATATAAGTGTGATATATAGTTGTTACACAGATATAAATATGATGGATGTAACACAGATATAACTATGATGGTTGTAACACAGAAATAACTAGGATGTTTGTATATAACTATGATGGTTGTAACATAGATATAAATATGATGGGTGTAACACAGATATAACTATGATGATTGTTACACAGATATAACTGTGATGGTTGTAACACAGATATACCTGTGATAGTTGTAACACAGATATAACTATGATAATTGTTCCACAGATATAACTATGATGGTTGTAATACAGATATAGCTATGATGGTTGTAACACAGATACAACTAGGATGGTTGTCACACAGATATAACTCTGATGGTTGTAACACAGATATAACTATGATGATTGTTACACAGATATAACTATGATGGTTGTAACACAGATATCACTAGGATGGTTGTAACACAGATATAATTAGGATGGTTGTAACACAGATAAAACTATGATGGTTGTTACACAGATATAACTATGATGGTTGTAACACAGATATAACTATGATGGTTGTAACACTGATATAACTATGATGGTTGTAACACATATAAAACTATGATGGTTGTTACACAGATATAACCATGATGGTTGTAATACAGATATAATTATGATGGTTGTTACACAGATACAAGAGGCCCAATGGGCCTGCATCGCTCACCTGGTATAAAACTCACACTGGTAACCTTAAAGTGATCTAAAATAAAGCTACAGGCAAAATATCAGTATTTATGATTAAAATTTGTTCAAAAGACCCTGTTAATTTTTTTCAAAACATTTCACCCCTGTGATTGAAAGTCGAACAAAGTCATTATGTTGAACACATTGTATAGCCTTTCATCTCAGGATGAAACTTGCAAAGTATAAACATCCTGGGACCCATGGTTATTCATAAGAGGTTGTTTAAAGATTTTAAACAAATTTGACCCCTGTGACCTTGAATATAAGTCAAAGTCATTCACTTTAACAAACATAGTAGTCCTTGATCCCAGCATATGCTACTAACTAAATATCAACATCCTGAGCCTTTTGGTTATTCAGAACAAGTTGTTGAAATATTTTAAACATATTTGCTCCTTGTGACCTTGAATATG